TCAACGAATAAATCGTCAGGATATAAGGAAAATGGAGACAAAGAACAAGAGAGAAAGAGAGACAGAGTGAGTGATAAAGAGAAAGAGAAGACTCAAGCGAGATGAGCAAAAAAGGATAAAAAACAACTTCATTCGCATTCCGTGCATTTTGTCGCTTCTTTATTTATCTCGATTTTATTATAACATGAACATTATATATGTAGCTCGTAGCAGCACACTACATACATGCACCACTACATTGGATTAAACAATTCATTCTCTACAAATGAAAAGTAACAAGCATTTTGACCGTGTGTTGTACAACGAATATCCATGTTCGCTGCTTTCATCGCCGTCATCATAATATTTTATAATGCTATGCAAGAACGAAATGAATGAGTGGGTTGTGGGTTCGACTTTATTGACGTTGCCGTGTAACGTATTTACTTTGGTACTGTAATCATATATGCTTGGTTATATGTGTGTTAACGCTTCTGCTATATTAGATTTTTCATGTTGGTTCACAATTATTTGTGACCCATAGAAAGAGAGAGAGAGAGAAAGAGCCCAGAGCATGAGAGAAAGAGAGTAGGTGTGCTTGCTTTGAACTTATATCTGGCGCCTAATATTTTAGCTATACGGGTAGAAGGGGTCATTTTATTTGTTTTTCTTTGTGAAATGGTCAATTAAATTCCATATTGCTACAAAATTTGTCATCCACTGGAGATCATTTTATCGACAGATTCCAAGCCCAATCTCAATAAGTATTGATTCAAAGTACAAATCACGCCGCTTGCAATCGGGGGTCGAAATTCCGATACGCCCCATTCTCCTTTACTATTAACGTTTACTTATCCTTTTTCATCTATTCATTATGGTCTTTAGTCTTTTCGAATGCGTATGATGCCCGCAAACTAGCGGCTGTGTCTTTCACAGTATGAGAATAATATTTCGTTTATAGTTTCGTTCAAACGTCCATATATATTTTTTTCTTCTTGTCGTTGTTGCTCTTTGGATCGTTCGACTTTGTTCTCTTTCGAACTAACTTCCTTGTCAACAGTTTTTCATTTCCTCTTTGAATGCCAAGAATTGAATTGTCACAAAATCTACAAAGCGCTCCAAGAAAACATAATGTAGCAAAGAGAAAAAACGAATGGTGATTGATAATAATATATTCTATGTTGAGTGTACTTTATTCTGTGTGCATAAGGTATCTATGTGATGTCGCCTTTTGCCATTCAATCGGGCCGTTCTATTGACTTGCCAGACTTTTATAGAAAAATCTTTGATTATTTTCAAGAGTGGCAAAAAGAGCTATATTCCAAGAATGTCCCAGACACAACGCGTGAAAAAAAAGTTGAAAGAGAGAGACAGAAAAAAAACGGAATAGACTTAAGTGCTTGGACAGGGATAAAGATGTATAAATATTGAAAGACATATAGAAAACGAAAAGCTCACAATCTGTTTATAGAAGCATGGCTGACAGAAAAAAGTTCAACATCAAATGATTTACAACTCGAAAGTTTTTTTTTTTTGTTTTCGAATAACTTCATGAGGGACTCATTTGTCAGCGAATCATGAAAAACAAAGGCCAGAACAAAAAAAAGTAATAGCTCGCCACTTTGATATGCGTACTAAATGCGTTGTAAATTTTTTAAAATAGATAGCTGAGCCAGAAAAAAAACATGCTACTTTCACATCAAACTTTTTTCTATCGTCTTTATTTCGACACTCGGATCTAGTTTGCCATTGTAATTTTGCGTTGTGTTGTGAAACATATGGCTCGGTACAATCAATGGATTCTTGAATTTGCGTCATATTAAATAGAACATCAAATTAATTGAGCAATTGTTGCCTAAATGAGAAAAATACCAGCATCTCACTGAGACTGTTCAAAATAGACGTAGGTACATACGGACCATATGATACAGAGAGAATGGCAAGTATGACTAGTTTATTATAAATTTAAGATAAAAATTGAACGATACGTGTAGTTTTAATAGAAACATGATAAATTGGCCGATCAACAAATAAAAGAAAAAACAATCAAAATCGTATCAATGAAATTTTTTATTGGAATTATTGAATGCATTTTGATTCGATCTCACGAAACATCATCAGCAACTAGGGGATAACCGTGAATTGCAGATCGAATAATTTAAAATAATAAACGCTATTTCTCTCTAGTTTTCACTAATTCTGCTAGTATTTCTACTAGTTTGTTCTAATACTGCTATTTTTTGCTAATTTTTCTAGTACGTCAAAAATATCGCATTCGTCAGATTGACAGCATGATCGAATAACTGAAATGTGTTTACGTAAATGTTTCAAGTTGACACTTTCAACGTGTATATTTGAAGCAGGCACTAGCGTATACGTTTTCAGTAAGAAATCTGTCATCAAATCTACATTTCCGATTGCAATTCGTAAATTGTAGTTAATACAGATGAAACGTGCTTGGTTACGTGCCATTGAATATATTTTTATTTAAAAATGAGAAAAAGCGTATTTAACTACATATTTTGATACATTTTAGTTCAACACTATTCAATTCATTTGTTTTGTGAATTTTATTTTAATTAATTATTTCAATATATTCAAGAATAAATGCTTACTAAAGTATATACGTGTACAGTGCTAATTCTGCTATTTATTGCTAATTTTGCTATTTTCTTCATGTAAATTTCCCTATTTTTTTGCTAATGTGCTAATTCTAATTCGCATGGATATCCCCTAGATCAGCAATCATCATGAATAAAAAGATAAAAATTGAAACCATGTTGAATATGCACCTAAAGATTATTCATTCATGAATACTGAAACACACTTGAAATTTCGATTGGAAATGATGAAAAAAAGACCAATAAAAATGATTGTATATTATTATCTTATTCTTCCTGCCCTTGAGTGCGTAAAAAAATCAACGCAGACATTGTTCGTCATCGGCATAAATTCCATTTGTATGACAAATTATACGGGGTTTCCCAAAATATTCCCTCAAACGTCGTACATCCCACAATGAGTTTCAATAAATTCCCGATTTTTTTTTATTTGACTTACCTGAACACACATCGCTTTCCATTCTAATTCTAAAACAAATGAACACATCAATTACAAGAATAGTGCCGAATCGGTTCTTTTACTAAAAACAATATGACATGGATTTTTTGTGTTAACAAAACAATCACAATTACGTTAAGAAGTTTTTTTAATAATAAAGTTACACGAAGCCCAACTAAAGTCTGTTTTAAATGAGTTTTTGGTTTGCCATATTTGTCCGTTGCCATATCAATATTGCGACGCAATTTTAAACCTTATGAAAATGAAGGTTTACAAAATGAATTTTAAATTTTGATAAATTTGATTAAATTTTTAATGTTCAATATTTTATCAATTATTAATGCATTTCCGATCAAACATTGTTCCTTTAAATTCATTTGTTCAAACTTACACTCTATCAACGAATATTGAACGTACATTTTAACGAATATTGATACTTCAAGTAAATATTTGGTTACTCCATTAAATTATTACCAAATTGTATACGATCCAATTGAATTGGATGTTTTTCTTTTACCAAACAATGAAAGCCGACGAATTCGCAGTTAAAATTGAAAATAAAAGCAATAAAGAATTCCAGCGGTTTAAAAGATTAGTTTTTTTTTTGGATACCAATAAAATGACAACTTCACGTAATGTCATACAATCTTTGGTCAATGAAACCATAAAGAATACCATTGAATAATTTCGATTCGATGAAAAACATGCAGACACTGTCTGTGTAGAGAAAAAAAATACCTCCGATGCTCGATGTCAAAAAATCACGGAAGTTAGCCCCAAAAGCCGAAACCAAAAACAATGTCACATTCAATTTGTGTTTCCATTTATTTTATTTTTTTTCGGTGTCAGCACAAACGGATCTCAATTCGATTCATTTTTGTTGTTCCTTATGTTTTGAATAAATTGATAAACGGTCCAACATAAATTCTACTTATATTCACGCTCTGCCAAATAAATAAATAAATTGAATACACGAATTAAATATTCGTATTTGTCCACTACTCTGTCTCTCTCCCTCCTTACCGTTCATTTTCCATCACTGTCGCTCAGTTATTTGTTTGCTTTTTCTCTCTTTCGCTCACAACAACATCACTCTGTTGCTGTGTGCTGTGAATAATGCACAATACTACAACATTGTGATCGGAGAGACACAAAAAAAAACCATTGCGATTCATGTGGCACAAGCATTTTCGTCGTGTGTGCGTCAACTTCAATTTCAAGTTGCAACAACAAGCAACAGTCGATACCGTGTATGCTGTACGATAACTTAATATTATACACACATTTTTCCACCGAATAAACGTTCAGTTGAAACAACAACACCAACATTCGGGTACAGCTCTCTGTTGCGCCAAACGTTACCGACACATTCTTGTCTCGCATGCAAACGAAACGCTCAGTTTCATTTGTGCCTATTGAATCCAAAGTGAAACTTATCTCGCTTTCGCTCTAATGCCTGAAAAACAGCTGAAATAAAATAACAGAACTTGTGTGTACACTGTGTACATTACATACATCCGATTCAAACAAAAAAGAAATATATATACTTCAATATAAGCTTTACCATCTCTTCTTATGCTTGTATATATTGTGGTGCTGTGTGCGCCGCTGTTTCGCATACAATCCGCGCTCGGCGCTTGCTAATATCTGTTTGTATTGAATGGTTTTGACTATCTCTTTCATTCGGTTGGATTCATAGATTTGACTGCCGTTCGCTTGGCATTCGAATTTCTGTGTGCTGTGTGTTGTGTGAGCAATGCGCGCTATATTCGATTTGTGTATATGTATTCAATACATACAAAGTCTCGATGATTCTCGAACTTACGGTGTCTCGGTGCCGCTTGCTGTGTCTCATGGCTGCTTTACCGATTATTCTACGGTTGTTGTGTTGAATATTTTCCCATTGTAACGAGAATTTCATATGTTCGCTTGTTGGTTAGTAGTCAGTCGTTTAGTGAGTGTGGCCGTGATCAAAGCTAAAAAGATTGACTGTCGCTACTAATAAATTTTCATCGAGAGGTTTCATTTAACATATAAAATATATACAAAAGAAAACATATATACTATATGAAAATAAAGTCATACACACCATATTCAAAAATTTTGAATCCAACATTTCGAATCCATTGAAAGATCGAGAGATTTTTTTTTCGTTTTGAAAAATTGGTTTTATTTCGTTTCGTGTGTTGTTTTCGTTTTTCTGCTGTTTGTTGTTTCTATACGGTAATGCAAAAGTATTTCAAATAATAATAACAGAAAATTATGGATTTTTTAGAAGAAGAGATTATGTTAAAACGAACATATTTCAAATTGCGTACATACGGTTTCATAAGTTTTAAAGAACAAGTTAAATTGAATAAAGAATGATTTAAAACGAGAGATTGAACAAAAAAAAGTACCAAATCAGTTTATCAGTTCAAAATTTACATAAATCAATTAATATTTTTTTTTCTGCAATTTAAATGCAACAAAAAAACAAACCGAAACATATTAATGCGTTGAGCAAAACGCTATGCAGGCTGTTAAGTAAATAAACAACAACAAAACTCAACCGTTATACACATTATATGTTAAATTGTAATTAAATTTGAACTTTTTTGTTGCAAATGCTTCAGTATTATGCGGTTAATTACCGAGATTTTTTTCTTTTATTTGGTTGGTTTTCTTTGGTGTTTGATGCAGTCGGTTTTTGTTTGAAGGTCGAATTTTTGTATGTTTTCAATAATATATATTTATTTATTTTTTTGTTCATTCGAAATGGTACTCACTTCGATTTATCGATTATTAGTTAGCGCGACTAATCGCAATTCTGCTGCCACTGAATGTGCAAGACCACTACTGCCGACACTATCAACAATAACAACATCATCAGCAAAAAAGAATACCAATTCAAACATATTGAAATGTTTGAACCTCGGCGTTTTCCTCTTGCTCAAATTTAAAATTACTAATTTTGCTGGCAGAATTGAGCTGATACATTGATTTGATGTGATGATTTGAATGAATATGTTAAAAATGAAAATTAGTCAATCGAAAAGCGATTCCGTGTGTTTGCATTGGATAATTTGTATATTGCGTGTAACAAATTTTGTTTTTGTTTTATATCAAACAAAGTGCGCGGTGTGCTCCGTTTTGAAGTCGAAACGAAAAATGATATTTAAGAAAAACTCCAACCAAAATTTAAATAAAATTCAAGTCACAAAATAAAATAAATAATAAAATAAAAATGCACGGCATAAATTTCGTTGCGAGAATATCGCTGTTTTTCTTTCGTTCGAATGAAACCTGTTGCCATCTCGCGCGTATGTGGAAATAGTATTCTGATGTATAAAGTAGAGCGACCAGAGAGAATATTAATGCTGGCTAAATACAGTGGGTGACACAAAGACACGGTCGTCGTTCGTTGTCGTGTTGTTGTTGTTTCTTTTATTTATTTATTTTTCAGAGAAAGTCGAAGATTTCTCGCGTGGTCCAATATCAAGAATATATCCAATAATCATACGAATTTGGAATCGGAATTAATTAGGCTGAAACATTTTCTGGCCTTAAAATCGAATACAAATACGATGTAATATCAAAATATCAATAATGAAGTCGATTTCATTAAAACGGTCGATTTTGAAAATCAACGAGTAAAAACCATAAAACAAAAACAAAATTCGATTTATATGCATATATACAATTCTTTCTTTTTATAAAAAAATTTTTGTTAATAAGGCGCAAGCATATGTGTTTCAGCGACTCATTCTGATATCTCTCGAATTGTATCTTTTATTGTTTCCATAGAGTGAAAATTTCACAAGTTATCGTCAACAACAACAACAATAACAGTATTCTTCAGCAGAAAGAGAAGCAGCAGCCGCCAGTAACACAACAATAAACCAGAGTAAAAAAAAAAATTAAATAAAAGTATTGTAAAAAACAAATTCGAACAAAAAAATTAATTGAGAAAAATTGAAACAGTTGTGCAAAACAAATCCGTTTAGTGTGTAAATGTGAAACGCGATATCTAAAATTGGAACTGATTGACTCACGTATTTTGTTTTGTTATCGTCATCAACAATCATAAATGAAGTGCTTTTTTATAAATTAAAAAAAAAAAATCTCGATAAACACTTGCCGAAAACAAAACTCAAACTCTAAGTAATATTCGCCGCTAAACATTTTTGGTTAGTTTTTTATTTCTCAATTCTTTCTATTCGAGCTGAAAGGATTAATTCAATCAAAATCGCATGCAAATAACGTCTATGGAATTTTTGTTGCCTTTATTTTATTAGTGAAGTTGATTTATTTTTATTCATTGTGAGTACCAATTGAAATTGTCATTGTGGTGTAATAATCAGCAGTCAAAGCAAAGATATCGAGAAACGAATCGAAAAAAGAGAAAGAGAGAGTAAAGCAAAACAGAGAATTGAATCTTTACCACATCTAGTTTAACCGCAGTGACCAAAACCAACCAGCACTGATAAAAATTCAAAGCTCAAAAAAAAGAAGTAAAAAAATAATAAGTTAGCGAATACGAAAAAGACATAGAAATCGCCTAAGAACCTTCACTTGTTACTTATTTCGGTCTCCGTGTTTTAAAATACACACATATATATACGTAGATACCAATATTTATATTGATAGCAACGCGTAACGGCCGACAATAAAGTCAAAAGAAAAGTAAAATACATACGAAAAAGAAAAGAAAGAATAAGAAGAAAGAAAGAAAGAATTCAGTTCAATTTGAAGAGATCAAGAGACGAGCTTAAGCAACGCGAAACAAGTAAACACAACGCACCGCGTACAAAACATCAGCACTTACAACATCGAAGCAGTCTCATAGCAGCAGCAACAGCAACAACAACAGCAACAACAACAGCAACAGTATCAGTTGAAGCGCAACACAAACAACGCACCACGTACAAAATAAAAAAAACCAGAGAGTTTATTTTTAAAAATTGAAAAGTTTCTACAAAATAAGTTCATATGATATCGGCTTGGATAAATCCATATAATGAAAAGGTGCGTGTCCACATTTATGTTCAATTTCACTCTTATTTTTTTCATCATCATCTTCTTCTTTATTCATCTGGTGTACATCTTGGCACATGTTCTGTACCATGTTTGGTATTTGTTTTGTTTTTCTTTTCATTTCATTTGTTCAATCAATTTTATACCATTTTATTTTGATTCTACTACACCATTATCAGGCAAGTGCGTGCTTAGGCACTACTTTACTATCTATATCGATATCTATTTTTCTTGTTGCTTCTTTTTTTCTCTCCATCCATTCTATTTTTCTGCATCATTTCTTTCCTCTTTTTCTATACCAAACACACAAAATAAATAAAAATAAAATAATATAAAAACAACGACCAACGTCTTTTTTGCCAACTAGTAAATTGAAAACAAAATAAAACTTGTGCTCGGAATTGAACAAATGATAGAAGAGAATGAAGAAACATGGTGTTTTATATGGTGTCCTGAAGCGAAATAACAATTGTGTTTTTTTATGAGATGTTCATTTTGGACGATTTTTTTTTAAACGAAAAGTTACCATGGTGCTTATTTGTTGTTTCCGTGTGTTTTTACATTGTCCTGGTGAACTTTGTTACGGAAAATAAATGTTTGTGTTAACTTTTTTTTATCTTTTGACAATGCTTAGAATAAATCAATTAATTTAAAAAAAAAATAAGTGAAATTTATTCGTGTGTGTGTGCTTCTGTTTCCAAACGCATTAACGCATCCATGCCATCAAATGTTATTCTGCATTATTTGTAAATTAATGCCATATGGATCAAATTGAAATGAAATTTTTCTCACTTGTTTTTATTGCGATTTCTTCGGGATCTCTCTATAATTATTAATTGATGTAATAATTTATTGTGAATTAATTTGCAATGTAAAAAATTCATCAAAACAGATAGCAGGCGAGAATATTGACAATGTATCAATATTGTCTGTCTTTTCGCTAGTAAATAAAAAAAAGTCGCCCTTTGCAAATATTTTTGAATTTTCTTCACAAAATAAAAATTAAATATTTTTTGGTTCATTCCTCCGCAATACGCATCGTATTCATTCACTTCAAACCCATCACAGAATTGCAAACAAAGTACAGAATGTAGTTTAAAAAAGCGCCCATTAATTCAATATTACGATTAACGATTAGATTGTTTTTGTTTGTGTGACACCAGAGATGGGCACGAATTAAAACAGTGGGAATCCTTTACCGGTGTGTTTTCGCTTGAAAGCGAGAGAGAGAGAGTAAAAAATGTAAAAATGCTAATCTACAATTGTATTGCTCTTTATTCATTCGACTAATGGCATTAAGCATATTTCCAGTTCAGACGAGGAACAGAAACACATACACGCACACATGCAAGCTCACTGCTGGCAACATGTTTTTCGCAAATGGCTTCTCCGGTTGCGCACATATGTTTTTCATTCGCGTTCCATATGGAAGCGTGTTTGAGAGCAACAAGCGACATAAAATGGCATAAAAACAACAAAACAAAGTGACAAATGGATAATATAGTGGTGGCGATGTTCAAAAATGTAATTCAGTCAAAGCCATTTATCGTTGTTTCGTGATTAAAGAATTGCTTTTAGCACCCATTACAACAGCATGCCAAACCCTTCAGTTTATCAACTCGCCCTCATACAAATATGTACAGCTGGATGAGTACATGTATATGTGCTTATCTCTTTTATTCACTCAATAGCTTTTGCTCTATGTGTGTGTGTGTGTGTGTGTGTGTGTGAAAGTGCCTGCGTATGCTAAATCATCGGCGCTACCAAACGGATACTGTGTCATTACATATTGAAAGCTACAAATCCTGAACATAAAATCAAATATCATCATTATTTTATGTGAACATTAGATATGGCATAGAAGAAAAAAAAATCGCTGCAACCTCGTTTCATTCTTAAATCTTGGTTTTAAAGCGATGAATTTAAAGCTATATCTCTCGCTATTGGCGCTATTTTATTGTGCTGTTTGAATGACTTTAATGCAATTGTTTTCGCAAATCGTATGGAAATACATTGTTCATTTCTTCCTTCAATTCATAGAATTTTGATATTAATTGCAACCTCATGGACAAAAAAACAAGTGATTAACTATCAAATATACTCGGCCACTGTTTGTGAATTATTATACGCAGTTAATTTCGAAGAAATATTAAGTTCCACATTTATTGTTATTCAAAGCACACGAAATGGGGATTTTGCACACAGCATTTTTTTGGAAGGGGGAGTATCGATTCATGTCATGAAAGAACAAGAACAAAAGCGATAAAGCGTGGACTTTCATGCGATGTAAATTTTCTCCTTTGAATGCAAGTTTTTTTTGTTGTTGCACATATCAATAAATTCCATTTTGTCGCAGTCAATAATAGCTTTAAAAGCAAACTTTATTTGTTGTTTTTTTTTATCATACATCATAAATCGAATTTAAATTAAAATTGTCGCTTTAATATGATGTTGAAACAAAATGCAATGAAAATTTATTGTTGTTCGATTACGTGTTGTTACAATATCAGTTATGAAATTTGCCATAAAATTTGGGCCATGAAAAACTTGAAATGCACAGTTACCATTATTTATTTACAAAATAATACAAGCCCGTAATAGTATGCGAACATTTAAATTGAGACATGCTCATGCGATGTGTATATTAAATTGAACTATCAACGCATACGAGAGAGAGAGAGAGAGAGAGAGAGAGAGAATGGCTGTTGATCTATCGCAAACATTTCGAAGAATAAGTTCTCACACAGGAATTACCACCCTGACACCGACACTTCCAACCTGCATATGCACGGAATATCGATTCGACACAATTGATTTGGATTTCCAAGTAAATTCAATTAAAATTTAATGAACTAAAGAGAATAGTTTGTGGTTGATTTCAATCACTAAATCCAGTTCAACATCCACACACACACACACACACAGAGAGAGAGAGAGAGAGAGAGAGAGAGAGAGAGAGAGAAAGAGAGAGAGAGAGATAAGCACATTTATTTTTGTGTTACATTGTATCGCAGGTGCATTAATTAAAATCAAGTAAACATCTCGGCGATGCCTGTGTGCCAAATCAAATCAAAAATCGTTCAACATTCAACAACGATGAATTCAATCGACAACTGATTATTTCAATTGAACATCCTCTTCCTGCATTTACAATAGCAGCGAACGATTGGAATAATGGAAAATAGAACATGTACACATCGGTACGTATGGGTATTCAATACACGCGTTGGGTTGGAATTTTATTTTGATTTGCGATTGAATGTGATATGAAGAGGAAATGATTGCAATTTAAGGTAACTTGTTGTTGAAATCGAATGAAATTGAATCTTAGTCTCGAGAAAAAAGAAATACACCCGAAGAAAATTCAATAAACTTTGTTTGCCACAACAGCAACCGTTCTTGTAAGCGACAAACGAAAAAGTGGCAAAATGCGAACTTAAATGTCTTTTGTATGTTTGCATTGGTAGTATAACGCAAGCATTCAATTCGTTTATTATTTCGCTATAATTTTGTGTCGATCATCAGCAAGAGAATTCACATGTTTATTAGAAATCAGTAATAATCAGTTTTCATTTCGATTTCTTCTCTCTCTCTCTCTCTCTCTCTCTCTCTCTCTCTCTTTCTTTTCATTTCGCAGCACCCAACGCCCTTTTTACCCTCTCCTCATCATATTTTTCAGTACATTTTACCCGAAACACATACAAACACAACGCACCAATTCGTAAATTCAATCAACATTGAGAACGAAAATAAATAAAATGGGTAAAATCGCATTCGAAAACTCGCACTGATTTCCGATTGTAATGGTTCCATGCGTACGTGTATACGTACTATTGCAATATTGACATTTAGATTAGACTTTATCAGACGTTTTACGTTGTGTATATTTATGTGTTGGAGAGTTTTTGTTTTTCTTTATGTCAACTACTATTTGCACTGTTGCCGCGTTGCTACTGTGTTAGCTTTCAATCAACGAGGAAAACAGCAGCAACGAGAAGCTTGTTTCAAATAATAAAAGTTGTTATTTAAACATGATGAATGTGGTTTTATGTGTGCGCCCATCAATTTTACTTTAAAAGGAGCAACTGAGAATTATTAGAGAATTAGAAAACACAAAAAATTAAATCCGAAAATCGATTGATATGCAGTTTTAACGCCTCACAAATTAGCATTTGAATATGTATGACAAAGCAACGATTTAAAAAAAATGCATCCGTTAGTTGATTTGGCACTGGTTTCATTTGGGGTCGGCTGCTACGATGCAATTGAGACTTTTTTTTCTTCACTTTTCCATTTATAATTTGTGAATATTTAATTTATAATTAAAGAAAAATGGAATGATTTATTGCGTGGATGGCAAACAACCTGGCGAAAAACAGCCTACTCAAGCGATACGAAATCATTTAATGACGTGAAAGAACGCACGATCTGGTAACAAGAAAATCGAAAATTCACTCGCTCACTCACTCATTTGCGCGCATACACATACATAACCGTTTAGATGTTTTCTACGAATTACTTTTTTCTTCTCTGAATTGAGTCTGTGTGGTTTGTGTTTATTGTATTCGGCTGATTGTGAGTTTTCGCTTTTCGTGTCGTTGCATTTGGTAATAAATTCTTATCGATTTATTATTGCGTGTACACAAATTGGCAGCAACAAAAAGCAGCAAATGTATGAGAAAAACACACATTTTTTTTTCTACCTTCGATGTATATATTGAACGAACAACAGAAATCAAAAAATGAAAACGATCGAACACGCGCTTAGAGACTGCAGAAATAGTCATAGAAATGAAAGAAAAATCGGTACAGCAGAAAAAAGTGACAGTAATTTTATTTCGCAAATTAGCAACTGGCACACACACACACACATCTAGACAGGTAATATAAGTGATTTCGTAGGCGAATTAAATTGATGTCTAATTTATTTGGCCCTAATGACATTTTTTTTCTCTCGCTCGCACGCTCTCTCTCTCTCTCTATCTCTCAGT